AAATTTCTGTTTGCCAATTTGCACATTATCTTGCAACTTCCTGACTTCATGCTAATGAAGACATCTAGCTCAGAACACAAGTGTGGCTGAAGCCCTGCTTAGAGGTCAAATTGTTAATACTACTTTCCTGGAATGCACTTTAGTCAGCACATTTTCTGAAGCCAATTGAGTGATAGTGCACTGATTTGTTTCATTCTCCTGAGAAACCCACTAGGACAAAGAAAAGAGCATAGTCATTTCAGAGATTTCCACTTGGAAATAATTATTTTTCCTCAGGAAAATAAAAACTTTCATATTGGAGGAAGCTGGCAATCTTTTAATTCTTATTTTTCAGATTGGAATACTCACCCCTCAAAGCAGAACTTAACATTCTATGAATTCTTTCAAAGTCTACTTGTTCATCTTACACCAGGCTTTATTGCTAGGATCAATTTTTTTTAAAAGCTGCTTCAAATTTTCCTGGGTGGCTGCACAAGTGGTATGCTGGTATGTTTTGAAGTCCACATATATAAAAATAAGAAATGGATCCCGGCATGCTTGGGAACATATGCAGGGTGTACTTGCTGTGACATATCCACCGGTGATGGAAGCCGTAAGGCACAACCTTGACAGTGATATTTCTATATTGAAATAATCCTACATCCCCCCATCTTCTCATCTGGGGCACTGTCCATGGTACTAGACCATTCAGGTACAGGTACCAGATCCTGTCTGATCTTGGAAACTAAGCAGAGTTAGTACTTGGATAGGACACCATCAAGAAATGCCATGTGCTGTAGGGCTATATTTCGGAGGAAGAAAGTGGCAAACCACCTCTGAGTATTCCTTTCCTAAGAAAACCCTATGAAATTTGTAGGATCTCCAGAAGTCAATGGATGACTTGAGGGCACATACGCACACACTGTCTCTTTCTATTTATTTCCTAATTGGTCTTTATGACACACAAAGATATAGGATTTAGCCTTACCCAAGAAGCTAATAGAAAAATTTCAGAACTTAATAAATGAAACACACATAGACAATTGTACTGATTTTATTTATTTTCATTTGTCATTTGACTCAAAATAACATCCCAAAAAATAAGCTTCAAATTTTCATGCACAAACTTGGGACAATGCCTTTGGCTAGTACAGAAATTCTTGCTGAGTGATTTCATCCACTGTTCTACAACACTTCCTCTGACAATGGCATTTATTTTATTTAATATTACTAGTTTAGGTGAGTTTTATTCTGAATATGATGTGGTTTTTCAAATTAAAAAACTCGGGGGTGGGGATTAAACATTGTAAAATTAAGCTAAACATTCCACATTGTAAAAGAAGACTACAGATGAAGTACTCCAGTCCAGCAAGAACTTGCTCCCATTGCATCAACTCTAACTCCAGGATTAATGAAGGCCAAATCCCTAGAGCCCAGCTGTCAAATTCACAGACTTAAAGTAGAGAAAAAGACATAGTGAGATGTAAAACACAGTAGATGTATTCATACCATATAAAAATGCAAGCCTAAAACACCCTGTATGTATTGTAAAGCAAGGTGGTGTGTGTCTCTGTGTAAAGAGAGAGTTTCATTTGTGATATGTTTGTTTGTGTTTAATCATTTTTAACTGTCTTCTAAAGCTGCTTTAAATCAATGCCTTAATATGATGGTTAGTTTAATTGTTTTTTAAATTTTGCATGTTTCATTCCAAATGAAAAACATGTAATACATATGTTGTATTATATATAATATAATAGGCATCTCTGAAATCTGGTGGGATGAGTCTCATGATTGGAATGTAGGAATAGGGAGATATAACCTTTTAAAGAGAAATAGGCCAAACAGGAAAGGAAGAGGAATAGCATTATATATCAGGGATGTTTACACCTGTGAAGAGATCCAAGACTTAAATCCTGGAAATCAGGTGGAGAGCATCTGGATAAGAATTAAAGGGGAAGGAAACAACAGGGATGCTATTGTGGGAGTCTACTACAGACCCCCAAATCAGACTGAGGAACTGGATGATGCCTTTCTGGAACAGATGACCACATACTCAGAAAGGAGAGATGTAGTAGTGATAGGTGACTTCAACTATCCTGATATTTGTTGGAAGTCAAACTCAGCCAATACTTCAAGGTCTAGCAAATTCCTCACTTGCCTCGAAGACAATTTCTTTATCCAAAAGGTGGAAGAGGCAACAAGGGGGTCAGATATTTTAGATCTGATCCTAACCAACAGGGATGACCTGATAAATAGGTGCAAATGGTGGAATTCTTAGGTGGGAGTGATCATGTTCTCCTGGAGTTTTTTAAACCATGAAAAGGAGAAGCTAGGCATAGTCAGACACTCATTCTAGACTTCAGGAAAGCTGATTTCAACAAACTTAGGGAAACACTGGGAGTGATCCCATGGTCAGGAATACTAAAGGAGAAGGGAGTTCAGGATAGATGGGAGTTTTTCAAAAGAGAGATACTGAAGGCACAATCTCAAACTGTTCGAATGAGAAGGAAAAATGGGAGGTGTTTCAAGAAACCTGGTTGGATGACGAAAGAACTTTCAACTGGACTAAGTTTTAAATGGGAGATGTATAAGAAATGGAAAAGGGGCAAAATCACTAAAGATAAATTCAAACAAATAGCTAGTACATGTAGAGGTAAAGTCAGGAAAGCCAAAGCGCAGAACAAACTCAGGCTTGCTAGAGGGGTTAAACACAATAAAAAGAGCTTTTTTGAGTCCTTAGCAAAAGAAAGAAGAAGGAAATGGTAGGGCCACTACGCAGAGAAGA